GTGGTTCTGCCTGTGCGTAAGTCGGTTGTTTAGTGTGTTTATCTCACAGTTGTGGGTAAGTGGGCCTTTACCTTACTTGAAGTGGCAGTGGTTAGAGGTATTCTGCAAGAGAGCACATGGCCTACGGTTTCACTTCAAGACCACGGCTCACCCAACGTCATCCATCCCTCCAAACGTCGACCAGTACCGGACTTCTGTGGGGAAAACAGCTGCACCAATTTGGTATATTGGTGGGCCACTGTGAGTCATTGTAAAGTCCAGATGTGCAGTCAACACTTCAGCCGGTGCACGATCAACGTTGAGAGCTTCCTTCCTCATCTTCTCGGAGTGCTGTTCACTTGCAGCTTTTACATGGCCTAACTTCTCTATCTACTGGAATAGACTTCTGTTGTGCAGTTATCCACTTGCATAGACCTTAAAGTAAGCACAACGTTGATATCGTCGAAACTTATGCTATCAAATGGCTACATATTAATTGAAGGAAGAGCTCTGTCTACGAGAGTCACGCATGTGTGAAAACACATGCCTTTCTTGCTCCTACGGAGCTGTGGAAAGAGATTTGTTCTAAGAAAAATAAAAGGGATAAACTCTCAAAAACGCGAAAAAACGTGCAGCGCTTGTGAGACAAAGCTTGCTACATGTGCTATGCCACGCAGCTTTTGTGCTACAACGCCGTAGAAAGGCCTCTTCAAAAAAATGTGCGTATGGCAAGTTCTTGAAATTCAATTTGCGACTAATTACTGTAAGCGCAATGGAATTTTCATCCATCAAAAAATCCTTCTTCAAAAATTCGTGCCGGATAATAGAAAAGAACCCTTATTTTTTTCAAAATCTATCATTGCCAGTGCACTATTTTTGCTTAAATCTGCAATCCGGCTGCTATAGGATTTTTAGGTCGATAATTTTTTGTCTCTTATGAGCGATGCTCTCCTAATAATAAGTCCGCCAATGTGTAAGAAAAGCGCAATAAAAACGATATGCGGACGACTTTGCCAGCGGATTTTTGTCGAAAGGCCCGTGAAAAAATAATGTAATTTTATTGGATGGGTTGTCTCTACGTAATTAAATACCCATGGGCCTCTGAAGTGTGTCCTGCGTCAACAATCAAAAACCAAAAATCGGCTATATAGATATAGAAGGCGCTATCCAAAGGCCAGGCCGTCGAATGTCCCGAACACGTAATGCGCTTCAAGGGCAACCGAATAACGTGAACAGTCACTAACAGGATTCAAGTAAAGGTGCACAATAGGGTAATCACCTGATATGCCCCGACCAATTCGTCAAGAAGCGTGGAAAGATAATTTTTGCTTAAGCAAATATAAATTCAAAAGAACACACACTTGGTCACTTAGTCACTTGTGTAGTAGGGGAAGGTGAAACAGACCGACGCCCACTTGAATCACTCGACAATCATCGGGGCGAAAGGTGATGACAATCTACAGAAATCAACGTTGTAAAACAAGTCTGCTCATATGATTTGAAAGAAAATGTTTTCATTCGGGGATCAAAATTGGCTAGGGAGAGTATTGCCTGGGAGGAGAATACTGCAGCGTTTGCTCGTTTCTCAGCAATTCAAACAAAGTGATACGGATTCAACGACACCGAATTCCCTTAGCACAGAACTACTGCAGCGCGGGACTGCTCCAACAAAGAGCTGCCACAAACGCGAAACGGGTATAATACGAAATGCTGCATCAAGGAACTGCTCATTCACCTCCAACACTCGATCGTGAAAGGCATAGCAGAAATGATAATCTAAGCACCGACGGTTAGCTTAATTTGTCATTCGCAAAACAAACGAAACAGAAAACTATTACATTGCGAATTAGAGAATTCACGGTAACATTTTGAAAATGAGTAAATTTACTGCCACACGCATTCGTTTGCTCACTACTGCGATATGACTTCCACAATGAGTGACGTTTTTCAGTACATTTCACAATACGTTGGAGGTGCAAATGCTGGTGAAGAGATCTCGAAAGCCCAAAACTGCTTTCCATCGCATTTTCCTACCTTTCACAGCATATTTCCAAAACATTTGCAACAATGAGGTAAGCCACTGAGGAGTATGTAACCGCCTGAAAAATTCAAATGCGACTTCACTATATGATATAAACATGAATGAATTTTGTTTTTCTGCGAGTCGGATGTCTGTGAGAAATCGATGGTGTTCGATTAACTTCCGTGTTGATGGGAACTTGGAATGACTAGAACGTGAGCAAATATTCGTACGCTCAGCGCTAGCTCACTCGCATTCTAAAAAACGTCCACTTTACTTTCGCATCGCTAAACATTGACAATTTCATAGAAGACTGGAAACTTTGTGGCTCATGAGATGCCTTAATGTAGGCCATTTTGCTACGGCCTTTTATGTAATGGTTTCCCTTATGCATTCTCATATTAGTGAATTCTTAGTGACATCTCACTTCTGGTCTGCCTTTATGTCGTCCTGTGAAATACTGCAGAAAATCTTGACTTGGTGTTCAGCCTCTTCTTCATCATTGAAGGACATAATTCTACTAAATGCTGGCCTAATGAAGATTTTAAGCAATTCGAAAAATTTTTGTCAGAAAAGTTCTTACAGAGAAAGTTTTAGTTCATTCTTATCAATCAATATATGTTTTTACTAATTCTCTGGCGAAGGACGCAATTTTGACATCGCTATTATGTTGATTATGATTATTTCATTGTTGGGCTAGTTGGGGTTTTATGCTGTAGCATAGAATGAGAAGATGGAGCCGATTTCAAGCCGCGCTACTTGAAGAACTGGCGTTCTCATCAAAACTTCTGCCTAAGTAGTCTCTTCCAAACCGTTTATTGTGAATCGGCACTTGACATTGACATTTTACATTGACATTGACACTTGACATTTTACCCTATCAACTCATTCTCCTTCGCTTTGACATAGCAAAATATGTCACAGAACGTGTTTCAAAGTATTTAAACTCTCGTATTAGTAAGTTGGGAATACATGGAGTCCTAAGGTCAAAATTTGTCACGGCAGCATCTCCGTATAAGTGTTGAGCGTCAAATCGGTTGTTTTTTGAAAATGATTTGTTGCAGTGAAAAAAATTGACTTACAAACGTACCTGTAATGCTTGCGTAGACTTTTAGAGATGAAAATGAAGACTATAACAAACATGGTGGAACTACGGACAAATCCCACCTTGATTTTGCTGCTGGCTACAATTTCTGCAGGGATGGGATGTGGAGTGATTCTTGCAGGTCAAGGTAGTGATAGGAGGTTTTTGGTACTACAGTCTTGCAATGTCACATGTAGGCTCAAAAACTCTGGCAAGAATGGATATGCATATGAAACATCATGTGTACTAAGAGCTGTTGCAATCGGAGCCTTTTGATGATAGAATGTCGATCTCAAGCCATGAAGGTCCAATCTCAGTTATGAAATCGTATAACACAATTAGCAATTTTTCAAGTACTTATTGAGGAGGTTACAAAAATTCGTTGCAGCTAGCACAAGGATGTTTCAGCGTCACACGGCTCTCTTTGCCTGTTGCCATGGTTTACTCTACCGCACCCAATATCCAAGCCCAGGTCCCTGGTATTGCAACAAGTAAGGATGGAGCAAGGGCATTTGTGTCACGCCTTTTAATGCAGACAGTGAGCTTAAAAACTCTTCGATTTCAATTTTTTAGGAAATTTGAGCAAGTCGTAGGACACGAGTTTCCGTTTTGTGACGAATTGTCACCCTTTCTTACTAATATGGCTTGTCACTGTTTTGCATAATTTGGTTTAAAAACACATCACATACGCTTGTTGGATAAAAGAAAATGTCCATGTTTTCAGTTATTTGACGTTCTCGAAAATCAAGCACGCAGTGCACTCCTACCTGATCCTGTAATATCCGCCATTTTGGGTCAACTTGAAGTTAGAGTCACTTACGAACCAATGCAATGCCAGGTGTTATTCTTGATTTAGAGAATGATAAGGGTGGGTCATCAGTGTTTTTAAATATACTTTGGAAGTTTCGAGCAAATTTACAGCACTCATTGAAAAAGCAGAACTGGTGGTTTATATTCTAAAAAAATCAGTTGAAATGGCCTAAAACATTCTTCATACATGTTCTTCAAACCAAGTTAAGGAATGAATCAGGTTAGGTGGTTTTGTGGAATTTTAATAGTAGAAAAAAACCAGTTTCTAGCAATGCTTCTAGCTTCTTCATTTTTTCCGTTTTGACAGAAGAAAGGTACCTTAAACTGAACTGTAACATCTTGCAGTAAAGATGAATGAACACAAATGTATTATCGTTGGGTGGCATGGTGACTGGAATTTGCACTACTATGGAGCCAGGGGCAGGAGGAGAGAAATGCGAAATGATGAAAACGACGAAAATAACTCCTGTTCCCTTCAAGTTTTACGTCAGTACTTAGGAACTCTCTCGGTTAGACTCTCTCACTCTTCCCCATATATATTTACCGTATGAGAGAAATGAATTTGCAGACTACAAATACTGTCATGGCGAATTGGTCGAAAAAGCGATGTGGCAAAATGTAGTGAACAGAGCGGTGCGAATGTTGGCATCGGGTCCGTTTGGATCGCATTTCTTCTCGGCATCGGGCTCTGTTGGTGGAAAATTGAGTTTAAATGGTGAATACATTAGCGACAGGTCATCTCTGTTTGAACCATATCTGTTCTAGCATTATAACATCGATAAAGTGATAAAATATATCGAGTCCCGTTATTATTATATTACTATGTGAGTTCAGCACGCGCTCCGGAAAGAGTGAAATCTGGGTTCGAGTCACAGCTGATGCAAATATTTTTGCACGCCACTATACATCATTAGGTTTAGTGTTATTACAACATCATAACAGCGCAATAAGCGGTCAAATAAAGTGATTCTGATTGATTATAGACATGCAATATCTGTCCACATAAGTGGATTCAATGTCCATAAGTGACTGACCACGCCAGACCGTAGATGGTTGGCTGTTGATAGAAAACGCATTGTAGAGTAGAAAGAGAGGTGTGCAAAATGAGCGTCAGTAGTGCAACGGTTCAACGCGCGCTCCCAGAAAGAGTGAAATCTGAGTTCGAGTTCCAGCTGATGGCAAACGATTTTGCATACCACTTTGCATCATTGGGTCTATTGTTAATTATGTGAGTGTTGATTAGTCCGACTCACACAGTAGATCCAAATTATAGCGCACAATGTAATGAGCTCAAATTTAGTAATTTCTTGAAAAAAATCTAAGAAATTTTGCAAAATAAATTAGAGAAAGATTTTTTGTATATGATTTGAGATGCTACCATCATTGCTAGCCATACGAGAATTGGAAAACCGAAGGAGAAAATAGCAAAAGCTTAGAGTAAATAATTACATTAGGATTTATTGTGACTACATTTCAAGCTTCCACTAGGAGTGATCGTCCACTCTTCGGAAAGTGTCTGCAAGTAAGTTGATTAGAAGCGATGAGGATGGCTTCCACGTTTGAGTGTCATTGATATACCAGAACAAATCTGGTTTTTTTGGTAAGCATAAGAAAGTCTGAGTCTTCAATAGTGATTTTTATGTGGAGCTGCCACATTCCTCATAAAAGGCCAGAAATAATGAATAAGGAAGCTTGGCTGTCCGAGGTAGATTAGAGTACTTGTCTTGAGGCATCATATAGTTGAACCTCCTAGAAAATGACGAAACGTTCCAAGTTACGTAATTGTTTTACACACTATTTCAAAAGCTTTGCAAGAATTCGTTAAGTTCTACAGCTTTATAGTTGTAAAGTGGTGAAAATCCATTATAAGAAGAAACTGATGAAAACTTGAATATTAATTCTGACGACACGTTTGAGAAATTCAATGCTTCCTCCATAAGCGATCTCTATGGTAGTCGCCTTGAAGTTTCGGGCGGGGCAGGTTAAACTTCTATAGAGACCGCTTCCATTTCTAAACTGTGGTTTATATTAGCTCATGAAGTTAGTTGTTTGTCTGCAGTTTTTATAACCTTTCTCATTTTGGCACTGAAGCACCTTTTTTCAAGCGGGTTTATTTTGTAAGCTTAGAATATTGTAGCAGTTTAAAAAACACTAGCCAGTCGTCATTCGGCTTTCCCTAGTATATCCAATAAATTGAAATTTTATATTTTAACACTTCATTTTATTCGACTCGATGCTACAAACGTCCACAGCGTAAGGGCGACCACAAATTAACCAGCGATCCAAATCATTACGATCTTGTAGAAGACGAAGACGTCGAAACGCTGGTACGAATAAGACTTGTTCGACAAGTAGACAATTCGCATGGTATGAAGAGGCATCAAAAAATGTTTATGCGTGTATTCAAAGTAAGTATATACAACAGATAATGCAATCGACAATTTGAGACTCGCTCAAGAACAATTCAATCTGATACTATAATTTGAGCCCTTCATGAGGTGTGCAAGACATGTGTTTTGACCTTCCATTCTCGTCACCGCACGATGCTCTTTTGTTCAAGGCGCTTCCTCATACCCTTTTCAAGTGCACATTCTACATTTCTAGCCGTTTGGTACATATTATTAATAAACGTTCTTCCATGTGTGAAAGACTAAAAGAAAAGTAACAGGCTAATGAATTTTTGCTACTTGAACACCGGCTCCATTTTGCGTCATAGCTATTTTTTTGAAGCTTTTTCTGGATGCTAAAGAGAAAAACCAGTTGCCGTGTAGACGTTTTTGCTCAATACAGCACTAATTCAAAAGAGTCATTAGTCATTGAATTATTGGCTGAAGTGAAAGATATCGCGCTACTGATGGGGGCCGCATTGACAAATCTAGCACTGTATAAGTGCCATAAAAGACATCATGAAAAGCTCAAGATATGCTATCAGATTATAGAAAGTCAATAGTTTTTGTTGACCGGCCTTATCCTTCACAATACCAGAAAATCATGTTTTCTAGGTGTATGTAATCGACAAGAATTCTTCATTAACCGCTCCTCTAGCTACGATGTGATGTTATAAGTATATGATATATATATATATATATATACATATATAAATATATATATATATATAACATATAGTTATAACATATAGTATATATTATAAATAATGAAATACTTCTCAGTGGTATGCAGAACAGTGAACCTCAGACCAAAATGGAACCCACATTTCACCCTTTCCGAGAGCGCATGCTCACCAACTTCAATGCCGCAGCTTCTGCTCTGCGGTCACTCTTTCTAACAGAAAGGATTCTCGCCGGCCACTCGTGCATTCAATATTTGTCAGCATAAGTGGGATTAATCTGTGTTTATCATGCCAAAGCGTTGCTCTTTGAAAGGTCGATCTAGAGCTTTTGTCGCAGGAAGAGTGGTGGCAGAACAGGAGCCTCGGCAGTGCAGTTGATTAGTATGTGCTCCGCGAGAGGGTGAAATGCGCGTTCGATTTCCGTCTGAGATTTGGAGTCTTGCATATCACTCATGATTACTGAGTAGGAAATTTTTTTGCTGATTTGTTTGATTGATACCGTAGCACAAGGTTGGTAATAAAAACTGATTCTGCTAGCGTTTCGATGCTTTCCATCTTGTGCAATACTGATAAACTTGAGTCGATTTCGCACAGTCGTTCGCCTTCGTTGTGGCTTTTCTCTTACTTATTGATTAAGTGGCTTCTTCGCTGATCACCGCTCAATCGAGAAATCTCACTCGGTAAGACTTTTTTATCACAAACTTTCTCACTTTACGAAGAAATTAGAGGCAGTAGTTGTTGAATCGACAATCCACGGTTTTTTTATTTTGCTCCTTTCCTTGAGGTGTTCAAGAACGACTTAGGGTGGAATGATTAGGTAGGACGAACGATAACATCAGATATTAGGTTAAGGAAAAAGTTCTTTAACATCCGCCGAAAATTCAAAATTGATACATAAATTCAATTGAAAACAAAAATGATTATTCTTCAGATTAAAGATTATCATTGTCCACGATCTTCTGCCAACAATCTGCAAGGCTCCGGATCTGCTCGAAATCACTATGAGCTTTGAATCAACGAACTCTTGCCATGCTCTTCAACTTGATCAAATGTTTCGAATCGGCGTCCACGCAGGCAATATTTCATTGAGCGGGAAAAGA